TTTTATTTCCTCATTAGAAAATTCCCAGAAGTTAATTACTTCCCAGTCTTTTATTTTTTCAACTGTTGATTTGGCTAAGAGTTGACATTTTTTTCTATTCTTTCTCATAGGTAAAGTAAGTATCAACTCTTGCCAAGACTGTGTTACTTAAAGAACTATTTACATATTAAATGATCTTATATAATCCTAAAAAAACCTACTATAAACAAACACGTCATTGCAGGAAGGCAGCTAGAGTTAAGCTCAGTATTTTAAAAAAGCACTCAAATAATGAAAAATTTAAAAATCAGAGCATTAGAAAAAATACGTAACTTAGGAACAATTCTAATAAAATTGCAAAACTTACACTCTAAAAACTATAAAATAGTGTTGAATGAAATAACAGAAGACCTAAGTAAGTGGAAAAACAATGCAGGTTCATGAAACAGAAGACTCAGTGTAGTTAAGACTGCAATATTGCCCAAATTGACCTATAGATTCAATGTAATATCATCAGGATCACAGATAACATCTTTGTGGAAATTGACAAGTTAATTCTAAAATTTATATGCAATTTCCAAGAACTTGGCTAGAATAGCCAGAACTTGCAAGAATAAACAGGGAAGAATAAATACTTCCCTATTCAAAACTTACTATAAAGTAATAGTAATCAAGAAATACAGATCAATGTAACAAGAGTTGAAAGGCAAGACATAAAACTCATGTACCTATAGTCAAAACTGCTTTTCAACAGAGGTGCCAAGGCCATTCAAAGGGAAAGAATAGTTTTCCTCAGCAGTTATACTGGAACAACTGGAGTCTCAAGAAAAGGATGAAGCTGGATACATACCTCCCACCATACAAAAAAATTAACTCAAAATGAATTAAAGATCTAATTGTAAGAGATAAAACTTCTAAAAGATCGTGACTGTAGATTTAGCAATGGTTTCTTAGATGACACCAAAATCAGGAAAAATAAAACAAATTGTACTTTATCAAAAAGAAGTATCTTTGTCTAAGGACATTATTTAAAAAATTAACTTCTAAGAAAGACAACCCACAGAACAAAAGAAAATAACTGGAAACCATGTATTGATTAAAGACATATAGAAAATATAAAAAGCTAAATATAGCTCAATAAAAAACAACCCAATTAAAAAATAAGCAGTCAACTATTAAAAAAAAAAGGATGAAACACTGCCATTTACGACAACATAGATGGACCTGGAGGGCATTATGTTAAGTAAAATAAGTCACACAAAAAAGACAAGTGGTGCATGATTTCACTCACATGTAAGACAAAACAATCCATGACACTATCATCAGGGATGTCTTTGGGTATTCCACTCCAGCAGAAAGAAAAATAAAAGCCAAAATATAACAAATGGGACTATATCATACAAAAAAGCTTCTGCATAGTTAAAGATACTACAACTAGAATGAAAAAACAGCCCACAAGTAGAAGAAAATATGATTCCTACAACTCAATTAAAAAAAAAAAGGAACCAAATAAAAAAGTGAAAAAAGTGGTCAGAATAGCTAACAGACATACATACCACCAAAGAAGACATACAAAGCTACAGACACATGAAAATATCTGCACCATCACTTGTTATTAAGAGAAAGCAAAATCAAAACCGCAAGGAGATACCATCCTCACCAGCCCTTATCAAGAAACAAAACACCAGGAGGAACAAATGTTGGTGAGGGTGTAGAGCAAAAAAGAACCCTCATAGACTGTTGTTGGAAATGCAGACTAATACAGCCCAATGGAAATAATATGGAAGTTTCTCAAAATATTAAAAATATATCTACAATATGATCTAACAATTCCACTCCTCTTTATCCAAAAATGCAAAAACACTAATTTGAAGGGCTATACTGGACTCCTACGTTTACTGCAGTCAAGATAGGAAAACAACATATACACCCAAGGACAGAAAGATGGATTAAGTTATGGTACAGGCCTCCCTGGTGGTACAGGGGTTAACTCTCAGTGTTATCATGCTACCACCACTGTGGCCTGGGAGCTAACCCACAAATAGCAGAGTAGACCTCTCCTCTTTCATCCACTGCTCTGCTTAGCAGTGTATTTCAGCATATCTGTCTATTCTGTTTCCCACTCTGTCTCTGGTGGATCCTCTTACCTCCTGAAACCCTGGCCCACACCCCAGTTCTTCTATTCATAAATAAAATTAAAATTGTTGGAAATAAAAAAAAAAAAGAGGTTATGGTACATATACATGACGGTATACTATTCAGCTAGAAGGAAAGATGAGACTTTGCCATTTTTGACAACATGAATAGAATTAAAGTTGATTATGCTAAATGAGATAAACAGAGGATGAAAAACAAATACTGGATAACTGCATTCATATGTGGAATACAAAGGAATAAAACAAAGGAACTGACAAAACTAAAATAGGACAAAATGGAATTGAGGCTACTGGAGGTTGGGAAAGAGGATATTAGAACAAACATAGGGAGGGGCCCAGTGGTATGTAGTAAAGGAGATGGGTGCTCTGGCTGTAGGTGTGGGATGGTGATCTGAGCAGGGGTGAACCTATTCTGCATCACACATAGTACTGTAAACTAATGTCACCTCAATAGTAGTAAGATGTTTTTAAAAAAAAATTTCATAAAGCTGAAATGGACTGTCCTTCAAGGCTTTTTTTTTTTTTTTTTTTAAAGATTTATTTATTTGTTCTCACAGAACTGGGGTATAGGCCAGAGGCTCAGGGTGGTGAGAGGCTTCACCAGAGACAGAGCGGGAACAGAACAGGCAGATGGACAAAGTACACTGCTGAGGGGAGCAGCAGGTGGGTCAGGAGAGGTCTGCCACACCATGTGGTCACCTCCGGGGCAGGTGGGAATCAAACTCATGCGGAAGAGGCTTTTAGATTCTCAGTGCTGTGCTTTAACCCGCTGCACCACCAGGGAGGACCCTGTCCTTCAGGCTTTTTAAAAAATCCTCTGGTATTTGAAATACTATTGAAATACTATTTAAACTGTAAATGCTTTTGCATACAACAATATATAACATACATAAGTAGTTGCTTAGAGAACTATATTCTCTAAAAATGTTTCCTTTTTTATTAAATATGGATTAAATGGTTAGTAACACTGGTCATAATCTCATTTTCTCTTGAAATTATACTTAAGATTTGTGATTCTAAAGTATTTTCCTAAAAGTAACAACATCTAGTTGAGAGGTAAACATAATAAAATTTCATCTTTAAAAATTATTTTAAGGGGCTATCCCTGGTGGTGCAATGGGTTATGGCATAACACTATGAAGCTATCTACAGCCATGCAGCATAAGTTCAATTTCTGCCCAGGGAGGTGGCCCACATGACATGGCAGAACCTCTCCATCTCACCCACTGACCCGCCTCAGCAGTGTATTTCAGTCAATCTGTCTGTTCTGCTCCCCACTCTTTCTCTGGTGAATCCTCTCACTATCCCTCCCCCTCCCCACCCCACCTCTGGCCTGTCTGTATCCCAGTTCTCATATGCGTAAATGAATAAATCTTTAAAACAAACAAACAAAAATTTTAAAAACTAGCTTCTGGCAGGACTCCCTTTATCCTCCTTAAGATTACTGAGGACCCCAGCTGACTTTTAAAAATATCTTTTACCTATTGAATTTACCCTGTTAGAAATTAAAACTGAGAAAGTTTTAAAATATTCATTACAAATTTTTTTTTATCTCATTGCTACCTTCAAAGTATTTTTTTACAGAAATTCAGGCGACAGAATAAAGTTGACATCACAAGGAAGCAAACTGATAAATGTGCAATGTGAAACATTCCTCAAAATAATTCATCAATTTCTTCAACAAAGAACATGAAAAAAGAAAAGTGGGGGCAATGGTTCTAGATTAAAAGATATAATCAATAACAGCAACGAAGAGACATAAGACAATAAAGTATCTTCTGTGGACAATGATGTTTTAAATACTGTTTAAAAAAAAAAAAACTGAAACATATGGTGATGGCACACCAGTGATCTGAAGTCCATGGGGATTACAACTGAGATTAAAAAGGCACAAAATGATGTACAAATAAATGATGTAAAAAAAACAAACTCTGAAACAACAGGGAAAATCATCTAAATACATTAGGGTACTAATGATCAAAATAACTGTGAGATTTTTCAGGTATGCTAAGAATTTTTTTTTTTTTTGAGAAGCACAATTAAGCATATAATGGTAAAATGGGGAAATAAAAAGGATAGATCAAAGAAATCTAGCAAAAAATCCAATATTCAAGTTGCATCAAATAAATTTTGTTTTACTATTCTTGTTACTTTTGTGTAGTCTGAACTTTTTCATAGTAAATTCCTATATATATATATATATAAATATATATATATATATATATATATATATATAACTTAACTTCTACAAAATGTGTGGAAAGCCTACATGTAAATTAAGTATATTTCTTTTAGTGCTTTATGATTATAGGCCTAACAACTAAGTTTCAGGTTTCCATTGAACAGTTCTAGAAAATACCTATTTTGGCAGAAAGAACTACATAATTCAAACTAGAGTAAGGTTTATATTCATACCTTATATACTGTAGATTCTTGTAAATGACTGATTTCATAAACCAATAAATTTCAAGCCACCGAGAAAAGTTTGTTAACAAAGCATCTTAATAATTAGTACTACTTTTAATCCAGAAATTAAGTTTTGTGTAAGAGAACAGAAGTTAAGTTTTGTGTAAGATGAAGTTAGATGAGTAAACAGGTTGAAAAGCATGGAGTTAAAGTATTTTAAATATAAACTATCTCATAAAAAAGGCTTAAATGAGGGCAATGAGAGTCCATGATAAACTCATGCTTCTTTATCTTTCTCTTTGCTCTCCCTGTATCACGAGCAATAAAATACTTCAACTCTCTCTTCTCTGATAATCTCAATATGCTACTTTTGTCCTCTTCTGCATGGCTGATGTTATTCAGCTTGGGATTCTTTGCCAGATGTGACCCAAGCTAACCATCAGTAAGGGGGAGACTTACGCTAGTCACTCGACGGTAGATCTGCGCAGCATTTTGGCATTCTGAGTAAGGGTATTCAGATGTAGCCATCTCAAGCATGCACATCCCAAAAGCATAAACATCAACTGATTCATCATATTTCTCCTCATACATCTCGGGAGCCATGAACTCTGGGGTACCTAAATTAAAAGAAGGATAGAATTCAATGCAAGAGGAAGTTGCAGTCATTACTGTGGGTGTAGGGTACACACAGGGACTGACCTGTGAGAGAGAAGAAAGTGGATGGTGAGAAAAAGAAAGAGACACAAATGGGTGAGGGGAGGTGGGGGAGAGGAAGGAAATGTTTTTAGTTAGGCTGCTCCATCAAATACTGTATAGATCTTCCACTGCAAGGTCTTTGTAAGAAACTGGTATATAGTCAAGTGTCTATTTATGAAAATTCAAATAAATTCCTGGATGAGGGATAAACTGATATAATTCATACCGAAAACAAACAGAAGGAAAAGATAAGGGACTGGTAAGGAATAAAGAATGTAAATTTTCAACTATTTGTAGGATAGACTAACAGGTAAAAAATGATCAAAATACTTGTCTGCCCCCTACAGGATGGTAGTTGTTAGTTTTTTATTTATAGCTAGTCTCTTGCCATTGACACTATGATCAGTTTCACTTTTAAGGAGGCCTTGCAATGAAATACCCATATTTAATATTTTTTAAAGTAATACAGTGTGATTGTCTATAAAGGCCACTCACCAGTGCCCTTTTCTTCACATACTTATCATCCCACCTGCAGAACACAAATAAGCCTACCATACATACAAGGAATATAGTGAAGGACATCCTAGGCAAAAAACAAACATATTCACAAATGGAGTCAACTACAGACTGAGTTACAAGTACAAAGTGTATGTTCCTACAGGTTTATTAATGTTTGTAAAGAGAGTCTGTATAACTCAAATTGAAGGACATTTCCAAGAACAGTTTTGCATACTATGACTTAACAAAGAAACAAAAATTCTTGAGCCAGAGATTTTTAAGATGGTAACGACAATCAAAGATTTCCTCTAGAGAAGGTAAAAAGGAAATTCTGCTTGTAATAACTCCTTTCCTGTTCTTCTTGTTAACCTATGTAAGATGTAAAAACAGCATTCCAAATTCAAGTTACACAACTGTCCAATGATCCACTACTTTATAAAATCTGTAAATTACAGGTGAACTATTCTTATTAAATGATAGGAATCTTGGTCACTTAAAAATGAATGGGTTTCGTTTACTGTCCTCACGTTTGGGGGATAGTAAAGTGAAAAATACAAGTTCCCAAATATTTATATCCTCTTCAAGGTATGATAACTTACCAAAACAAGCATTCATTATTTTTCCAGCTTTAATACTCTAACGTATAGTAAAAGTAAGTGAAGGGGCAGCATTGTCACTTACAGATTGGAGACTGAATAGGGCAACTTTGCAATGCAGGTGACATTTACAATTATTAAGGACATTTCTGTTTGTAAATGAGGGGCTGTTTCTGTCATCTAGGAATGCAAACAATGTACAAGGCAGCCTGTACAACAGAATTTTTAATTCAAATTATTAATAGTACTAATGTTGAAAATCCTATTTATATATGTCACACCTTTGAAGAGGGATAAGAAAAAAGTTGATAAAATCAAGCTTTCAGAAGTGACGTTTCCACATTCTAAAAGTTTTAACAAACATTTTTAAATATACACATATATTTAATCCTATACTTATCTTGGAAACTAAGCTCCATACATCTAATTTCTTTTATGGAAAAAGTAATACATTCTATTAAGTAAATATATATATAATACTAAATATTAACAGAATCCTTTGTTGACAAAGGAGTCTGTCAACAAAGTTTACCTCTTCATTTAACTTTACAGAATATCATTAGTCTTCAAGATGATTCAAGAAGCATATAGTCTTCAAGATGATTCAAGAAGCATAAAGTCACAATTCAAAAAATTAATTCAGAAAGCTGTGGCTTTCTGAAGGTTTATTTCATAGAATAAATGCTTTGAAAGAACAAGATTCTAAATAAAAGGAATGTCAGAAAGCCTTGAGGCTGCAAGGTACATCTGAAACATACCTATCACGCTCTTGGCAAAAGAAGCCCGCTTCAGGGTTGCCAGACCTAGGTCTCCAATCTTGACTGAGCCGGTAGGGCCAGTGATAAAGATGTTGTCACATTTAAGATCTCGGTGAATAATAGGTGGAGTTCGAGTATGAAGAAACTGAAGTCCTTTAAGGATCTGACGGCACCAGCTTCTTAGAACTTTGATCTTCATCACCTTGAACCTTTTCAGGTACCTAGAAAAAGGCAAAGCATACCAAACAGGTTATCAATATGAGTTTATTTAATGCTTTGAAGAATTTAACTTTAGCATATTTGAGATGGGAATATCAAATTTAGAATATTAAGATCCAATAACCTTTAAAGTTACTTTAAGTCAAATTAAAGGGGACAGAATAATAAATAGTTGGTAGAAAAATTCTGGTAATGCAAAAAAATAAATTCCTTAAAATTAAGCCACCTCTGAAAACATTTAAAAGTTAAGAGGTAGATCTCCTGACCCGCCTGCTGCTCCCCTCAGCAGTGTACTTCGTCAGTTGGTCTGTTCTGCTCACCACTCTTATCTCCGGTGAATCCTCTCACTACCCCTGGATCTCCAGCCTGTACCCCAGTTCTGTATGCGTAAATAAATCAATTAAAAAAAAAAAAGAGGGAGAGACTGATGTCTGCTACATGGTTGAACAATTCTTACTGGACAGATTTAATTATAAATTCTAGTGAAAAAGAGAACAACTACTTGAAGATGCTAGAGAGTTAAAAAAAAATCAGGCATGAATTATACGTGAGAAAAAAAAAGTTAGCATGTATATTGTAAAGATAGTAAGAATTTCCTGCTTTCTATACCCTTTTAGCTGAGAGAAGGAAAGGAAATATAGGAAATCCCAAATTCTACATAGTTACTTTGTCCAAATCTCTGAAATGCATATGAGAAATAAATTGCAAGTAACCCGGCTAATGCTAAAAAACCCAAACAGGTGTTTCTTATGTTGTCCTGTGCAGAAAAGATAAAAGTATGGGGACTGAACTCATATGCACATTTTATTTATCTGAAAATATTTAGTGAAAAAAATGAAGATCATTAAAATGATAAATATGAAAGATTACATTTTTCCATACTATCTTTACAATATACATGACTACCTAAAAGGAAAACTTACAACACTGTACTAAAGGTTTTATATATATAAATGTAATGAAAATTAATAGTATAAAAAGCAAATATTAGAGGTAAGTGAAACTGTATTTGTACAAAGTTCCTTTGTTTTACATTAAATTAAGCAGTATCATCCTAAATATACTGTGAAAAGTTAAAGATATAAAAGCAATCTCTAGAGAAATTGGTTAAACACCCACACAATTTAACTAAAAAGTTAATAAATTCAAGTGAAATTCTACTTCATTTGGGTAATTAAAGAAAACAAATGGTGAGAGTTGGTTTTATAGTTTAAAAAATATCAAAACACAGTTCTCTGGAGGATGAGGACAGAGATACCTGGCAAGAGGTACAAAAAGGACATTTACTGAAATGACGGATATGTTCTACATCTTAATAGAGTTTGATTAAATGACTGTCAAAACTTATTGAATGAAACATGATTTGTCCTTTTGCTTTATCTAAATCTCACAAAGAAAAGAGCATACAAATATTGGAATTTTAATGAAGTATATACTGAAGTTGTACTGCAACTTATTTTGGAATGAATAAAACTAAGATATATTAATGGGGGATTGATTAGGTGAATATATATGGTAAAGCAAATAGAGCAAAAGCTCTTGATTATAGAATGTAGGCAAACATGTGTACCATTCTGTAATTCTTTCAAATTTTCCTATACTATTGAAAATTATATAATAAAATAAATGCTGGAGAAAAGTTGAGGCTAGCTTCTATCTACAAAATAATAAAAGTGTATCAAATAGTGGTTATCACATTTTAACTTTGTTATAGGATCTTAATTTGTTTAGAATTTTCTATGTGCAGAATTATGTCATCTGTAAACAAAGCAATTTTATTTCCTTTCTAATCTTTGTAACTTTATACCTCTAATCTTTATACCTAGTTGTCTCCTTTTTTTGCAGTGGTTAGCTCCTTTAAAACAATACATGAATATAAATAGTAAAAATAGTCAACCTTGCTTTGTTCCTAATCTCAAGAGGAAATGATTAAGAGTAACAAATATGAATGTTTTTCATGGTTGCTTTTTATCTGTTTGAAAACATGCCCTACCTTTCCTAGTTTGCTGAGTTTAGTCATGAACATTCAGATCTCAATAGTCTAATACTTTTTCCCACATATACTGAACTGCTCACATGATTTTCTTCTTTATCCTATTAATATATGAAGAACCATTATCATTCACTGTTAAACCAACTCTACAATCTTGTAGTGGTCTATTGTGACTGCTGGATTCAACTGGCTGGTATGTTGCAAAGAATTTTTGCATCTATAGTACAAGAAACAATGTGCAGACCAATGAAAATTGATTTCAGAAATTATCCCACATACCTGTTTTAATGACTACCGTAATATAATATCTGTAATCAAACAAGAATTTCACATGCAGCAAAATTATCCTTCAGAAATGGAGAAATTAAGACTTTTCCTGGTGGGGCCTCCCTCAGTGCTATCAAGCTACAGTCAGCATGAGTTCAATCCCTGGCCAGGGAACTAACCCACATGGTGCAGCAGACCTCTCCTGTCTCACCCACTGCTCCCTTCAGCAGTGTATTTCAGTAAATCTGCCTGTTCTGCTGCCCACTCTGATTTGGTGAATCCTCTCACGTCCCATGTTTTTGGCCTACAACCCAGTTCTTGCATGCATCCATAAATAAAAATAAATCTTTGCATAAGAAAGGTATAAATCTGTGTTAACGGGAACACAATGCATTAAAATTGCAGTATGAATATGATTACAGCTGAGCTGCCATGAATTCAAACTATCCTGTTACAAATTTATAATGCTAGTAGTATTTCCCAAGTAACAACTAAAAAAAATCTAAAACATATATACAAAGGAAATGAGATAGGTATGAAAATGGTACATTACAAAAATCATGTAAACAGAAAAGAAAGCAGTAATGAAGGTTTTAAGACATACAAATACCAAGTTAAAAAACAGAAGTGCGGCCTTCCCTTGAGGCGCAGCGGGTTAAAGCACTGCACTGAGAAAGTAAAGCCACCTCTGCATGAGTTCGATCCCCGCCTGC